GTTATTTGTTTTAAGGAATTTGCCCATTTCTTGTAGGTTGTCTAATGGGGTACGTCTGATACAATTGGTAACTAATGCTTTTTAATTTGTTTCAGTTAGCATTTTATTGAATGCCACTTATCTGCCAAGATACCCATGTATGCATATATAAAATATCACTTAATTTTTATAGCAACTGCAAGATAAAAGTGGTAGAGGTGGTTATTATCTCTATCTTGTTAAAGAAAACCTCAAAAACGTTAATTAACTTTTCCAAAGTTTTGCATCTAGAAAATAGTAGAGACAGATTTCAGATTGATTTAGTATTCCCTACTCTTGGAGACACGGCTTAAGTGTGGGAAATCTTAAGAAAAATCTGAATTTTTCTGTTTTGAGAAAATATGATTTTATACTTGGTATTAACCAAATTACATCTTGTAAAGCTAGCTATTTCTTGCTCTTCCAAAATATTTCAAAGCAGAAATTTGTAAACATTATTAGAATACTTGACTAGTTAAATCAATGTACTTGGAATCAAAGCATTCCTGGGGTTGTTCATATTAATACCCTAATTTTTAAAAGAGAAATGTTGAGTTCTGGGAAGAAAATATTTTAACCTGTTTAAAGTAGCTTAGTTTTATGAAGATCAAGAATTATTTTAACTCCTCCTTCATATATGGGAGCTATATTATTTATTAAATATAATTAAGAATTGAAAATGGAGATTTTTAACATTGATTTCTTATAAAGGAGATAGATTTAATATCATTTCATTCACACTCACTCAGTTAATTACTATTGTTACAAATTCTGTGATTTTCAATGACTGGCCAAAGGTTGGGATGTGGCTATAAAATAAGTGAAGAAATTAAGATTTATCTTTGATTCTTAACATTTTGAAAGGTATGAAAAACAATGCAGATGATTATAGAAAAAGTATCATGATCAAAAATCTTTTTATCATTTATCTATTCTTTGATGAATCCAGGAGAAATCACTAGGAGGAAAAAGACCACAGTGGTTTCATCAATGTGTATTACAGTCTTTGCTAATTTTTTTGTCTATTTGTCCTTAAAACAAATTGAAATTTTAAATTTTTTAATGGTTCTAAATAGAATTCAGCTCTTATCTGCTGGCTCTTGCTGTATTGTGATGTTGCCCAGGATAAGTTCAGATTTATGGCATTCCCTCATAGTACAGAGGAATTGTAATGTTTTTCTATATCAACTATATGCAACCAATGCAAGTGGCGTTTCTAAGTTTACTTTGGGATTTTTAATTCAGGTATCTCTGTAATGTAGCAAGAATGGTGATTTCTCAGAATAGTGGAGTCTGTAGGTTTTTTGGTAACTTATCAGCATCCTATGAAGCCACCATGGAATAATTTGTAAAAAAAAAAAAAAAAAAGCAGCAATCTGTAGTGTGCTTTTCTTCTGTTTCAATGGGTGGAAAATCAGCTGTGACACTAGATTCTCTCTTTGGGGACACTCACTAAGAATCCTCGAGTCTCTAGTTCTTTTTTCTTCCTCTGCTCCTCCAAATCTCTGTGAATAATTTCTCCAAGTATTAACATCTGAAGTTAATAGTGCTGGATACTACAGCTATCACAGTTGCTTATCTTTCTTAAGAATGGAAGTAAATGGGCAGATATTACTCAGTACTTTTACTTAAAAAAGTGGAATTTATATCTGAATTACACATATTAGGAATATTCTTGTGGGAGACTGGCTAAATCTAATGGCTCATAGTTCTTATTGCAAGCTCCTCTTCTTCTGTGATTAAGTTCTGGATTCATTTCCATTTCTCTGAAAATTTAAGAATTTACTCTCTCTCAGGTAATGGATAATGGGTACCAAAATACAAACAGAAGAAATGAGTTCTATAGCACACAGTTAATAAAAATTCATTATGCATTTCAAAATATATAGAAGAAAGGATTTTGAAGATTAGCAATACAAAAATTATAAATGTTTGAGGAGATAGAAATGCCAGTTATTCTGATTTGATCATTACACATTTTATCCATGTATTGAGAATTCACACTGTCCTCCTCCCATAAATATGTGCCATTTTTATATGTCAATTAAATTTCCATTAAACAAAAGGATCGTCTTTCTTTGCTTAAGGACTCTTGCTCTGGAGCACCTTTGATTCCCAAGGATTGTTGTCTATCCTGACCAGTGAAACTGATATCAAGCAAGTCTTCCACAGTTGTACGACCCTGTTTTGGTTTGTTCTGTAATGTTTAGATAAAGACAGTCAGGATTATCTAAAAGGCTGGAAAGCTCAGTGTCCAGCATGGACATTGTTTTCCCAGTTGGTGTTTGGAGGTTGCCTTCTTACACTGGAGTTAGCAAGGGAAAGATTACAATAGTGCCTAAAATTTTCCTGTTCCAACAGGCTTCATTTTCCTTTGTACAAATTTAAAAAGAATGGGTCCTCACGCAAGCATTTCAAATCCAGAGACAAATTTGAAAAAAATTGCTACAACTTGTTGACTGATTCCATGCCAAGTCAGGCACACTGACAACTTTTTCTTGTTAGACTTTTACACAGAAAAAAATTAGAGAGGAGTAGGGAAAAGCATGTGACTTTGTTATTAAAAAAACAGCAACAACAACAAAACTCAACTCCGTAGTACTCTTAAATCTCTGGCTCCATAGTACTCTTAAATCTCTCTGGCTCTTAAGGTTTTCTTGTCTGCTTTTAAATCTCCTCTACTCCCTCCCCTGTCTTTTTTTCCTCTCTCTCTTCTAATCATTCTCTGTGATAAACTCTGTTGCTCTAATGTATTAATTTTTACCTTTAGTGCTGATACAATGATATGTTCTAGAGAAATATCTTTTTAAAGATTCCATTCAGATATACAGATGCAAACCAGCAGAAAGATTAAAAACATTTTTAAAATATGCGTGTCAGCAGTGGAAAGAAAGGTGTTTGTAGCCAGCAGGTGAGCCGGAGAGTACTACAGGGTGTGGTGGAGATAGTAATAAATTAACTGGCAAGCCAAAAACTATAAAAAAAAAATCAGCTATTTCATAGCATAGAAGCATGACAGCTATGAAAAAAGGAGTGCCCCGGGGAATTCTTTAGAGTTTGATTTTTAAAAATATGTTTGACATGAAAAATGTTTTAGTACAAATAAAGCAACTGGTATTAAACTTACAGAGAGGGGGTGTTGTGGTTTAGAGTTAGTATGAATAATGCATGATATTTAAAGAAAGAACAGCTCTAAAATGTTCTGGGAGGCAGTCCATGTTGATGGTTGGAATGGTGATGTTCCCCCCCTGTTTTTGAAGCATCATTAATTCAGCATCGTTTTGTGATCTTTTAAAAAACCTGATAAGATATCAACCAAAAAAATACCATTGGACTTAGATTAGGATATTCTTTCTTCACATAATTTGGCCTAAATATCAAGAAGATCAGTAAAATTATCTAAGCATAAAGTGATTGTCATTTACTATAAAAATAATTTGACCTGGTTATCCTTTTTAAAAATTTCATATAGTACTGCAAGCTAAAATCAACCTCATGGAAGCAAAAAAACAAGATCAGATATTTTGAACATTACTCCATAGGAGACCAGCACAATATAGTGTTAGTGAATGCATTGTAGCAGCACTCCATATGCAATCAGAAGCCAATTGTTACTGGACTGTGTACAAGCACACACTGTGCTCAATGGTCTGATGAGGTATTATGGATATGATGCAAAGAGACTGTGTAGATTAGAAGCTAACAATTTGTTAAAAGTGAAAGCAACTTAACATTTACATGGGGCCAGCTGAGTAGCACTTCAGGTGGCAAACAGGATGAGTTCCAAGGAACCAAGGGCACCAGGAAGGTTCCAGGTATTAGTGTCCATGCAGGGGGAAAATAAAGAGGTTTTATTGCTTTCTAGTTGACTACCTTTATTACTATGATTCTTTGTACACTGTCTCTTCATTATTATAGTCAGCTTTCAGTGTGGAAAGTTCATGCTAAACAGCATGATTATTATAAATGTCAAAAATGTGTGGAAGAACAGCCTATTAAAATATAGCCTAGAGATAGTACATAACACTGACTTTAAATAAGTAGCTGAGGCCAAAGTGATACTCTATTAAATCACTGATGTACAATTTTACCACAAAAATAATTTTTATTTCAGTTACCATTGTCACGATATGTTCCTCATGACCTTCTTGGTTCCCCAGGTTCCTGTAGATCCCATGTTCATAAGTCATAGAAAGTGCTCTCATCCCCCCAAAACAGGAGTGTTCTGGAGTCAGAAATACATTAAGATGGAGCATTGGTCTCTGCTGAACCATGGTCAAGCTCTACCGGGTTTTAGTTCAGACATCCTGTGTGAAATGGATGTCTGTTTAATAAAGTCACCATGAGGGAAGGTATGATAAGAGCCCATCGTGCCAGTCGAGTACCAGATGCTAATCCAGGAAAAATATGGTTTCCACTGTCATTAGGATACCAGGCATTTCACAGAATGCAATGATCTAAGCTGAGGTGCTCTCTCATCCCTATCATATGCACAGGCTATATTTACAAATTTTTAATTTTTTATAAAATAAAGTTGAAGGTTATTGGCAGTTAATAGCTCATCGTCTTTTTCAGCCTCTCATAATCGGCCTCGCCTACCAAGCCAAAACTTTTTGTTGTTCTAATATGAAGGCCTCAGTGCCTTCACCATGCACTGAGTGTCAGCCTGGCTTTAAGATATTTTTTTTACTCTTAAGAAATGATGTACTACAAGATTTGTAATGGAGTGAACATGCTTGACTTGCACATTTAATTTTTTAAACATCACATTCATGTTTTGCCAGTTTGCCTACCAGCTATCTGTTAACAAAAGTTCCAAGGCAGCACTGCAAGTCTGTGCCCAACGAAGCCTTTTGTTTCTGCAGATGTTTGGGCTTAGAGCAATGTTGTAAAGCTCAGGCAATCCAAGGACCATGTTTGTACTTGTCTGCCGCGATTGCCTGGGCATTGTCTAAACCTGTATGCATTGTTCTTCCCGACAGGTGATAACTACCCCGTACAGTTCATTCCATCAACAATGGCAGCTGCTGCTGCTTCTGGACTCAGCCCTTTACAGCTCCAGGTAAGTGCCAGAAGAAAAAAATGTGGGATATGAGCCAGTACTTTAGTGGAAAACTGCTAACCAGCTGTATGCTAAATAATGGTCTGAATGTTAAATAATATTTTAAGCATAGCCCAGAAGGATTAACACCTTGTGTACTTACTCTACTGCAAATAGAAGAGAAAATTGCCAGTTTCAGTATTTTTAAAGGAAAATTGATATTACAACTTAGTAGTATGTATTCTCTCTCAGGTGAGTTAATAAGTTTCACACATTTTATTATTGGATATGCTCACTTTTTCTTTATCAGGCTTTCATCCATGTCTCCATTATGTCCAGATTGGCTTTTGCATTTAAGTAGTAAAACAGAGAATAATGTTGGCTATTTTCCTTCTTGCAGCTCACAGAAAAAGGGATTGTTATTTACAAGTTATTTGTTAATTATTTGGTAAAATGTTAACACACGTGCTCCTGAGTATATGTATCCTCATTCTTTCCAGGATCAAAAGCCTTGGCATGGTATCTGCTATGGGTCCGGGTTTCTGTTGTTTATTTATAAAGCTAACTTTGGTGACAAAGTGTTTTGGAAGCTGAATGAAGAAAACATTTGCACTTTATCCGCTTCAGAGTAAAATGAAGACTTTGGGATAGGACCAGCTTGTATTCTTATCCTTCTAAGTACTACCATTTTAATGGATAATTGACTTTTAAAATCTGAATGTATATTTTAATGAATAAAATTAAGCAGATAAGATCATCAAAATAAGTAAAATCTTTGGTATTTGAATATTTAGTACATGTACAATAATAAATAGCCTGAATTTCAGTATACTGGAAAGTTTATTGAAGAGCACTTTTATTCTTAAAATGTGATTAATTTTTAGTTTTTTTAAATAATCTATGGAATAGTAGCTGGTGAAAAATTTTTGTCTCTAAATTGCTATATCCTGTATGTCTTGAAGATGTAAAATGTACAGCTATCATATCATGAAGAAACATCATTTTGAAAATTTTCAATTGGGTCAAATGAAGAATTTTTGCAATACATGGAGAAGTTTTTGTCATACGCCTTATCCAGGAATCTATGAAAGATGTCCACTTGTTTTGGGCTGCCTGGCAGAGCTAGAAGCATAGCCTGTCAGGAGCAGTAACCCTGCCCCTCTTGCAAACCTATACTTTCCACCCTGCTAACACTGGAACGCTTACTAAAACTGGTAAAAATCAAATAGTACCTCTCACTACTGGTACACCTAATGTATATCTCCCTTTCCTACAGCTGTGGTATATACTATGTTCTTGAGTCAGAGGCAAAAAAAAAAAAAAAAAAGGACAAGAAGCAGCCAGTACCACTGTTTGATCCTAGAAGAAATTTCCTATAAAACAGAGAGGCTGGGCCTTAAACCTTCTACTTTCCATTCTTTGATATAGTCAATACCCTGGGTTTACAAATATGTGTTCTGTTTCATGAGTTCTGACAGTATGTTTTGTCTTTTTGTTTTTTTTCTGAATATGCTACTAAACAGAAGGGTCATGTCTCCCACCCACAAATTAACCCAAGGCTAAAGGGCCTAAGTGACCGTTTTGGCAGGAATTTGGACACCTTTGAACATGGTGGTGGCCACTCTTACAACCACAAACAGATTGAGGTATGACTGCTTCCACTGGTGCTTCATTGGGTGGGGGACTGGATTGCTCAGTCATATTCTAGGCTTTTTAAAAATGTAGCACTCAGTGTAAACACTAAAACCTAACCTTTCCTTTCATTCTCATTCCTAAGGCGGCTGTTCTTTTGCTTTTTTCTTTCAGAGAAAAGGGCACTTCTCAAATCAGTGCCCCAAATTAAGTTGTGCATTACTATATAGGTTCAGGAAAATTTTTACATTTGAGCATCTCAAAACCACCTTTCTGTCTCACACTCTTCTACCTTTTCTTACACATAGTACTGTGTAGTATTTAAAAAATGCTTAAATGTTTTTTAAAAACTTTAATTTGGTCCCATACCAACCCTATAAATTTGATAAAAATATAATTCTGCTTGTGTAGATAAATCAGCTGAGGTTCAGAGAAGCCAAGTTATGTAAACAGTGCTATAAAGTATTGATCAAAACAGGGTTATTACTAGGGATTCTAACTTAACCTAATTCTGGTGTCCTAACTTAGTTTTCCCATGGTGCTAGGATCTGGCTGGTTGCTTTTTACACCATAAACTTCTGTAGTATCCTCTTCCTATTTAACCATTTATGGGATCTTTTTCCTATTTGGGGAAAGAGATGGCTTACATGGATCTTTTGAAAAGCAAATCCTTTTCTTCAATAGGGACCCAGTCTTCCTTTCTCCAGTTTCAAACTTAATTCCTCTCTGTGTCATTGGAGTCTCCCTCTGAGACACTCAAATATTGGAGGGTTGCCAATTAAAAAAAAAAAAATGGAGAGAGGCTACCTCAGACTGAAACATACTTTAATTTTCTGCATTAGGTATAGTATCAAATTGTTCATTCTAACCTACTGTGGGAAACTCAACTCAAAAATGAAACAGTTACATCCAAGAAGCTTTACATATTCATCTCCTATTGGCTCTCCCTGTCTGTACATGCAATCAATGAGAGATTCCATTGACATTATCTTCTCTGCTGCTTTGAGTCTTCCTTTTTGGAAAAGTCAGGAAATGTTCCATGCTAAGGTAAAAAGGACAAGATCACAGGCCTCCTTGGAAGTAGCCTAGGGAAGAGTCCAGAGCTTGTTGGCTGCCCTTCGCTTTGCTTCCGCTTTCTATAAAAGGCACCCAAGGTTTCCACTCAGACGTGACTGGATACATTCTGACAGGATATCTGCTGTCTTCCACACAGCCAAACGAGGCTTCTTTCCTGTGGCTTTCTTTTGACTGTGGAGAGGGCACCATATTTCTAGGCATTCTGAAAATCCACTGTGCTTTAGAGAGTCAAAAAGAGGGATAAGTGGCCCTTGGGACAAGCTTTTCTGTGTGGTAATAGCAAGCTTACTACTCACGACAGTCAGCTTGAGGAGCCTTTAAGTGCTTAGAAGAATGTAAATGCAGGTGGCCTTGGCTCAAGCTAAAGACTTCCTCTACTTTCACTTTTTTTTTTTTTTTCCTGATGAGATACTTATGTTCTGTCCCTTCAGTCTTCCCTTCCAAGTGTCTACCAATTTCTTCTTTTGCCTTATTTTTCACTAAGGTTGGCTTTTCCTACCCACCACACACCGTCACTGACCCTTGATATGTCCAAGTTGGCTTCCATTGGTTTTCTGGAAACCACGATGTCACACATATGAGTGTCAGGGTTACAGGTGCTGTAGCAATGCTGATCTAGAAACCCAGAATGTGCCACATGGCTGTCTGTTTAATTAGACTACATAGGGAATCCATTAGTGCAAGAGCCTGCTTTAGCTTTGCAGTTTCAGTTTGGCTAATTTGAGAGTTTCCTAGGTTTGTGTTTATTTTTTGCCTCCTTTTTTCCACCTTTTTTTCCTGCATGTTTGGAAACCTTTGATCTGTTTTCTTATGTGGTACACTAGTTAGACAAGGCTGACCTTGTTTAAGAGGCAGGTTTCTTAAACTTTCCTGGGGTGGGTGTCCCTGGTATTGGGACATCCATGAACAGCACAGTGAACAACCATATCCAAGCTGCTAGACAGATTTTAAATCTTGAGCAAAGGTAGAAGGAAATTTTAATAGTTTCTCATCTTATTGGTATTATATTTGCTCTCCTTTGTCGCTAAGGTTTTCTCTCCCCCAGTGCAAGCTAAAATGTCACAGCTCTGTCATAAGCATGATTATGAAAACTATTGATACTAAGAAAATATTACAACTATGTTAGCAAGTTTTGTGTCTGAACAAACATTCTTGGGAAGAAAATTCCACAATACACACACCCCTGTTCTCCTGTTCTTCCACTTGCCTTGCGTTGTTCAGAACTGGTCCTTTCTACCTAATGTTACAGTTCATTTAGCCTTCCAAGATTGCCATTTGTAATATAAATCAGCCTTGGTAAATCTTAATGGCATTTATAGTTATTCTGTAAAAGCCCGAGGTTTCATAATAAGTAGAGAAAAAGTATTTAGAATGGAAAGATCTTCCTTACATTAGCATATTCCAGGTGTTTTTTTTTTTTTTTTAAATAAAGAAGATGCAGCAAAGACCATTTTTTGAATACTATTGTGCTGATCTAAGGCATGGTTTTCTGCGCCTCAGGGGCACAATATTAGGAGAAAGAAGGCCAAAGAATGCTATTTTTAGTTGAACAGTTCAGCAGATGGAGACATGAATACTCATATATTGGAAGGTTGAGGGACTTGAACCATTAATTTTGATAATGTATTTAACCCTGGGAACAATCAGAAACTGTAACTCTAAGGTTACAATGCTTTTGACCTTTAGAGAACAGAGAGCACTTGCTACAGTAAACAATATATTATATTGCTACCTTTTCCAATTCTCTCAGCCTTATAAATTTCAGGACGAGTTGCCATTTGCTTTCCTCAGCTATGTTAGCATTGGTCCTTAAGTAAGTCAAAAAGAATGTTAAGGAAAAGGAGACTAGTATAATGAGGCAGTCATGTAAATACAGCATTTTAAATAGCTATGATGTGAGATTATTTTTGTAGAAATGTAATCTCAGGAACTATGCACTGAATGCCTTTTTTTTTTTAAACATGAAAAAGAGGTTTAAGTGTATTGATTCATTTTATGTGGTTACTTTCAATAAGATGGATCTTTAATTTTGTTTTGTTTTGTTTTGTTTTTAATTGGGAGTAATGTTGCCTCAAAGTTGCAGCTTATATTAAACACAATCTGGTACCATATGCAAAATGATACACCTGTTTCATGCCTTCTTATTAAATGATGCATGCTTCTCTTTAGCAAATACAGCAGTTAAATATCACACAGCTTAAGAATTTCTAATTAAAATATCTCCACGTGTCAGCATATTGGTAATGTATTATTTTAATCCATTTATTTTGTTTATGAAACAGTGACATATGTTTAGATTGTGAAATATATGAGCCTTAAAAAGCACTTTATTGAAGAAAATTAATTCCTACAATACTGTCTGGGTAATGTGTTCACTCACCCAGTCAGTCACTGGCAGCACTGCCAGTCTTAATGTTTCGTAGACACACTTACCAGTTTCTTCCACATAACAGTCTTGAAAGGAAGCAGAACAGCGTTTTTTCTTAGCTTCAAATGATAGGTTTTTCTCTCTTTACTTCTTCCCCTACACCTTACTTATTAATTCAAACCTGTCCCCAAAACATTTTTGTTGCCTTTTAAAAGTATACACACACATGCACACACACACACACACACAAAATAAAGGATGGGACTGAGTTCCTGTGTAAGGGATTCTGAAAGACCAATCAAAATTAAAACAAGCTAGTTACCTTTTCAAAGTTAGACATAGTAATTTGTTTGTCAGCAGGGAGATGTTTGGGTCAGCCTAAGATAAAGTGACTGTCAGCAGTTATTCCTACAAGACAAGTAATTTCACTCAATGTATTACTGACAGATTGCTCACTTCTCTGAGTCACCAGAGAAAACAAACTTAATATTGTTACAGGCAGAGCTTCTGTCTTCATTAGCTTCAGAGAATGATTTTTATCGAGCATTCAAAGCTACCAAGCTTTAGTTGGAATATATTTTAACAGACTGGTTCTTATTATGATAATATGGGTAATATTCTAAGTGAAAGAATTGTATACGAAAATTAAAATATCAATATAAATACATTTTCACTTTCATTTGATGGGTTTTATGTGTGGTTTAGAGGAGATTTGAGGAAAGGAGTGTAATTAGAGCCTCAAAGCACTAAGAAAACCTATCAACCATAAGTTACTCTTAAATGAAACTATAAAAGTCTTGCCAAGTTTGCAAAGATAAAGGAGAACAATTGAAGTTTTTGCAAAAGTGAATACAAGCACATATTTTATTTAAATGATATTGTCAATTTTCATGCCACAAATGGAAAGTGAAGAAGTACCCATCAGCATCGGGGAAAGCTCTATTTCCATCTCACTTCCAGCCTGGATCTTTATGATATTGTATTTAGATATAGCAATGCCTCCTACTCTTGTCTTCTTATTTGCAATTGTAAACATTCCTGAGTGCTGTGGGGAAATGGGAAGGTGAGTTAGCTTTCCTGGGTGATACTGGGAGGCTGTGGTTTCTAATAGAGAAGAGGGTTGAATAAAGGGTTGATTAGAGTGACTTATTACTGGCTACCCAATGGAGAAAGAGGAACCGATTCAAAGCTGGCTTTAAGGATGCCAACTATGGGGCTGTGCTGTGAGGGGAAATGCTTTCTTTTTCTCTTAATCAGCCTTCACTTACCCCCTCTGACTCTTTTCATGACTTTTGAGAGTATGGTAGAACTTGAGAGGACCATTACAGCCAGGACTAGATGAGCTGCCGGCTAATGGAATAAGCTCCATTTACGGAATTAGAATTTTGGATTAGAGTTTCCACTATTACTTACTTGCCGTGTTGTCCTGAATTGTTCTCAGAATAACTTTTTTTTCCAGTTTTTTTTTTTATTATAAAAAGATCATAATGCATATTCTCAGAATTGTTGTGAATAGTAAATGGGATATTGAGTCATTCATTAGATTTCATCAAATGTAGCCAAACCATC